CTTCTATTTATTTATTTGATAGAGTATTGCTTTGTTGCCCAGGCTGGAGTGTGGCAGCACAATACCTGCTCACTGCAACCTCTGCCTCCAGGGTTCCACAATTCTGCCTCAGCCTCCCAAGTAGCTAGGATTTCAGGTGTATGTCACCACACCCAGCCAATTTTTGTATTTTTAGTAGAGATGAAGTTTTACCATGTTAGCCAGGCTGGTCTTGAACTCCTGACCTCAGATGATCTACCTGATCTCAAACGATTCGCCTTCCTCAGCCTCCCAAAGTGCTGGCATTGCAGATGTGAGCTACCATGCCTGGCAGAAACCTTAGTAAGGTTTTTAAGCTGTACATGAAGTGGAGTTGTCAAATTTACGTCTGGAAAATTTAAACAAGTTATGTTCCCACTTCAAATGTATGGGAGTGCCAGTTTAACCCTATCCTTGCCCACGTGTGGTATTCCTTTAAAAACATTGCCACCCAATTTTTTAAAAAAACTAGATTACCCTAGACACACAGTCCTCACCGTGCTTGAAGGATACTTTTATCTCTGAAATCTTTGAAATTCTATCACAATCTCTTTGCCTTAAATTTGGCTAAAACATAAAATGTATACATTTATTTTTTTCCTTTCCTTCTCTTTCTGTCCCCTTTCTTCATAAGCATAGTTTTTTTTTTCTTTTAGTAATTTCTTTGATTATGACTTCAGCTTCGTATGTTCTAGAATGTGGATGCTTTTAAGAGACATTTCATGTCTTTCTTATTCTCTGTTGTATCATGGCTGTAGTGTACTAGATGCTTGATGCTCAATACATTTGTCAAAAAAAAATACTGTTTTCTTTCTATACACAGTATTTATTGGTAAGTTGATCTATATATTTATCTTGTTAATCTATTTTGTCCTTTTGATTTGAGTTGTAGGATAATTTACTGATTTTTTCTATGTTACTAATTTTTGTTTGGTTATATTACATATGTGACTTATTGTTTCTATTGCTGTTTTAAATTTGACAAATCATGCTTTTCATCTCTGAAAATGTTTTCATCTCTGAAATCTTTCCTCACATTATTCTGATTTCATCTTTATAGATGCAAAACTCACTCAAATTCTTTTAAAATATTAAGCACCTTGCATTTTGTTATTTTTCTTCATCTTATACCAAATACTGTGAGACTGTCAAGTTTTTAAATCTTTTTCAGCTCTAGGACATTTAAACTTTAATATTAGTGTGTTTAAAACCCCTTAGGACAGCAAATTAAAAGAAAATAGAGTACCCGTTCCTTCCTTCAATCCAGCCACCTCAACACACAATTAAAATGTGGTATTGGTGCTGGACAGAGTCACTCATGCCTGTCATCTCAGCACTTTGGCAGGCTGAGACAGGCAGATCCTGTGAGCTCAGAAGTTTTAGACCAGCCTGGGCAACATGGTGAAACCCCATCTCTACAGAAAATTAGCCGCATATGTGATGGCTTGTGCCTGTGGCCCCAACATGCGGGAGGCTGAGGTGGGAGGATTGATTGATGAGGTTGCAGTCAGTTTTAGCCTGCACTTTAGCCTGGGTGACAGAGCAAGACCCTGTCTCAAAAAAAAAAAAAAAAAGTATGATATTTTTATTAGTATAAAGTTAGGTCTAAGAGTTTTATTTGCAAAGATTACCATGTGGGAGTAATCTCTAGACATTTTTGCTTTCCTGGCCTATTTTGTAAGGAACCCCTCCACCGCCACCAAAGTCAGAGAACTGGATCAGGAAAACAAGTAGAGCTTGAGTACACACTGCCATGTTTGAGAGGACCATGAATTCAGAACTTGAAAGAATTGGTGTTTTTTAAAAATTATTATTGTAATTTAGGTTCTGGGCTACATGTGCAGATCATGCAAGATTGTAGCATAGGTACATACATGGCAAGGTGATTTGCTGCCTTCATCATTCTAAGCAAACTGACGCAAGAACAGGAGTTCTTTCCTTAATTACGCTTTGGAGTTTTGCCCTTGGGACCCAGAAATGAATGTTGAGTTCCTCTTCCCTAGGAGTTCGATCTAATGCTAGACATATATGGTAATAAGCACAGTCAGTGCGACAGAAATAGGCGGTGTGAAGGTAAAGTGAAGAGATCTGTAATTCATGGTTGATGTTTTCCACTGGGTTTTTTGAAGAATGGAGGACATTTGAGATTTGATTTTGGGGTAATAGGAGACTGTAACCTGGGATGGGGGAAAAAAAAATTACAAAGCAATGCTTATGCTTAGGTTGGAAACCTTGAATCTGTACTGGTGCTAATTATGGGTTTTTTCCTAGTAGTATTTACCACCCCTATACAGAGGTGGAAAATGAAACTAGTGTATTTACTCAAAATAGGTGATTTGAAGGAAAATGGGACTGAGCAAAGTAGTGCTTTATAATCAGCCCCAGTTTTTGGGATAAGACTGCTAGAGACTCATTACTTTTCACATTATACTGTGAAATTAATCATTAAAACTTTAAGTAAAAATGGAGGGTTTTGGCCAGGTGCGGTGGCTCATTTCTGTAATCCAGGCACTTTGGGAAGCTGAGGTGGGTGGATCACTTGAGGTCAGGCGGTCAAGACCAGCCTGGTTACCAACAGGATGAAACCCTGTCTCTACTAAAAATAGAAAAATTAGCCCAGTGTCTTGGCTCATGCTTGTTATCCCAGCTACTTGGGAGGCCAACGCGGGAACATCACTTGAATCCAGGAGACAGAGATTGCAGTGAGCCAAGATCACGCCACTGCACTCCAGCCTGGGAGACAGAGCAAGACTTCATCTACAAACAAACAAACCAAACATACATGGTATGTTTCAGCCCGTTGCACTTACTCTCCTCGTCAAAGCTCAGATTGTCCCTTTTTTAGCCTGTGGTGCCACTTCTGCTTGGCTCTTGGGCCTTCTAACAATCCTGTTCATGCTTAGTTTCCTTGTTGTCCAGTGTGACAAGATGTTCTTGGCTTATCTTGCATATTTCCTGCCCAGCCACTTTTCCAAGAAGAATGTGGACGTTTAAAACAAAAACAAAGTTTCAGTGTACCTGTTGTACCCCAAACCAGCTTAATCAGAATCCCTGGTGGGGATAGGGCCCAGATACAGACAGGGTCCCCAGGCTGGAGTACAGTGGTGGGATCTCAGCTCACTGCAACCTCTGCCTCCTGGGTTCAAGTGATTCTCTTGCCTCAGCCTCCTGAGTAGCTGGGACTACAGTCATGAGCCACCACTGTCAGCTAATTTTTGTATTTTTAGTAGAAATGGGGTTTTGCCATGTTGGCCAGGCTGGTCTCCAACTTCTGACCTCAAGTGATCTGCCTGCCTTGGCCTCCCAAAGTGCTGGGATTACAGGCATGAACCACCACACCCTGTCAGGATACAGTATTTTATAAAAAGCACGCCCAGCTTTGGATGGAAAACCACTTGAGGAGAGTTTGCTGCCTTACTGGGTTCTGTAAACGCCTCATCTCTGCACAAGGCTGGAACTTTGAGTGGAGTCCTTGGCTGAAGCTCTCATTGCTCCACGGTGACCTTTATTCCCTCTCCTGCTTAAAGCTTTTGTTTCAGAATTTTGACCCAAATTTATATGTGTTGAAAGCCAGGCCTGGTCTGTCATCCCATGATTCTGTGTCCGTGCTTTTACTTGCCTGTATGTTGAGTTCAGGCTCATCTTCGTGCCTCTAGGAAATAAATTCTTTGATAGCTTGCTTAGAGTTTCTCAGTACTTTCCCTTGCCTTTAGAATGAATACCAATATATGTGACCTGCAGTGTAGACTGCACAGCTTTCAGTGTAGACTGCTCAGGCCCCCTTTTGGTTCCTGGAGTCTGCTATGCTTCCTTTTACCACCAGACCTTTGCCAATGCTGCTGTCTGCTGGGAATGTCTTGCCTTTCTTTAGTTTCTTAGTTCTCCTCATCTTTCAGGCGCTAGCTTGACTGTCTTTATCAGGAGAGCCTTCTCTGACCTTGGTACATCAGATCAACCCCCATGTGCTGACTTTGTCTCACGGGTAATATTTCTCTACCTTAGGACACATATCAAGGCCCAGAAGTTGCAGTTTTGCATTTGTTCGTGTGATCGTTTGATGCATGTCTCTCTTTGGAGCCTGAGTCTTCGGGGCTCATGTCCTGTCTCTATCACTTTTAGCTGTGGGACCTTGAACAAACATTTCATCTCTAGTCCCCAGGTTTTTTTAACTGCAGAACAGGGATGATATAATACTTTCCTCTACCTTGTAGGTGGGGATGAAGATTAAATAGGGTAATTTGTGTAAAGCACTTAGAACAGAGCTAGCTATTAATAGTAGATAATCTTGGAAGGTATTACTGATGATTACTGCAGTGAACCACAAGCTCCATAGAGGCAGGGGTCATTTCTGTTTGTTTAGATTTGTATGCAGGGTGCTTGGCACATGGATGGTGCTCAGGAAACATTTGTTGGATGAATGAAGTGGAGATAATAGTAATACCATGTTTATAGAATTCCATGAGGATATAAAATAATGCAAGTATATAAGTTCTTGGTAGCATGTCTAGCTTATAGTAGGTGGTCAATAAATATTCAATGCCTGAATGAGGAAAATGGGGACAATAGTAATACCAGCTTATGGGGTTGTCATGGGGATCTAAGGTAACTCTGTAGTACCTTGTAGAGTGCCTAGCACATAGTAGGTGCTCAGAAAATATTTGTTGAATGAATGAGTGAACTTGGGAAGATGGTAACACCAGCTCCTATGGTTGCTGCGGGGATAGAAGATAAGGCAGGTCGATAGTTTGTTGTCTTGTGGTTGCGTCTGGTAGACACTCTGAAACGAGAGGAACTGCTATGAGTTTCTTTCTCCTGGGGCTTAGGAGAGAATCTTTTTGGGATGCAGAATGGTATGGAGTAGACACTGGTCCTCTTGAAGAAAGAATGGACAGCTGACTACTCCTTGCCAAGCTCTGGCCTGGATGAAAAGTTGAATCGTTCCTTTCCCTCTTCCTCCCTAACCTGTTCTTTTCTTCCACTAGAATCCTTGCCCAGAGTCCAGTGCCTACTTCCTGTCCAGGATCACCTTCTGGTGGATCACAGGGTAAGGCTGGGCCCCCAAGACCTCAGGGAGGTGGTGGGGAATGAATGAATGAATGAATGAATGAACATGCTGAGCTCCCCGCTTGACTTCTCTCTCCTTCACTCTTCTGCAGAGTTGTCTTGAATCTGTGGTTTCAGAGACACCAATTCTGTCCTCCAAGTCCATCACCTTGAATGTGATAAATGCATGAGCCATGAGCAGCTTAAATGTCTGCAGAAGGCTTGGCCTGGGACAGCCATACACTGGACTGCTCTTCCTTTAGCTTCAGATTTGGGTTTTTGTTTTATATTTTTTATTTCTTGCCTAGGTACCATGTTCAACCTGACAGGTTTGAGCTTTTTAAATATTAGGTACAGTTATTACTGACATTGTTCCCATCCCATCCCCCACTCCTTAGAAAAATAAAACTATCTCAACATAGGAAACATGGGTTAAAAAAACATGTACAGATCAGTAGTAAGAAAACACCCAGAGGCAACCACTGTAACCATTTTAGTATGCCTCCTTCTGGTCTTTTCGAGGTGGAGTCTCACTCTGTCTGCCAGGCTGGAGTGCAGTGGTGCGATCTCAGCTCACTACAACCTCTGCCTCCTGGGTTCAAGTGATTCTCCTGCTTCAGTCTCCCAGGTAGTTAGGATTACAGGTGTGTGCCACCATGCCTGGCTAATTTTTGTATTTTTATTAGAGACAGGGTTTTGCCATGTTGGCTAGGTTGGTCTTGAACTCCTGACCTCAGGTGATAGACCCACGTCGGCCTCCCATAGTGCTGGGATTACAGGTGTGAGCCACCATGCCCAGCCACCTTGTAGTTTTCTTTTTGTACATATTTTTCTGCCCATTGTCAACATCTTATTGGGGATTATTTAAAGAATCTTTTTTTCACCCTAATATGCATCATCTTTTTTTTGGAGACAGGCTTTTGCTCTGTCGCTGAGGCTGGAGTGCAGTAGCACAGTCATAGCTCACTGCAGTCTTGATCTACCGGGTTCAGGTGATGCTACTGCCTCAGCCTCCCAAGTACTGGGACCACAGTCATGCTCCACCATGCCCAACAGATTTTTGTGTTTTTTGCAAAGACGGGGTTTTACCATGTTGCCCAGGCAGGTCTCCAACTCCTGAGCTCAAGTGATTCTTCTGCCTCAGCCTCCAGGAGTGTTGCGTTTATAGGAATGAGCCATCATGCCCGGTCTCATTCTTCTCTTTAAGAACTTTTTACAAACATATTTTTAAAAGATTAGATGTTTTAAATAATTTCTTCAAATTGCTATTAAAGAGCGTCACTGGGACAGTTGATGTAATTTATATATGACTGCAGGACACCAGGTACATACTAGTAACATTCATTCTTGTTTTGGAAAATTGTGCTCCAGTTACGTAAGAGCATGTCCTGGATTGTTCAGGGATATCCCCAGTGTTTTGGGGGTAAAGATAGGTAGAGCCTACATCTTAGTTTTTTTTTTTTTTTTTTTTTTTTTTTTTTGGTGGGAGGGGACAGAGCCTTGCTCTGTCGTCCAGGCTGGAGTGCAGTGGCATGATATAAGCTCACTGCAGCCTCTGCCTCCTGGGTTTAAGCAGTTCTCCTGTCTCAGCCTCCTGAGTAGCTGGGATTATAGGCATGCACCACCATGCCTGGCTAATTTTTTAACTTTTAGAGATGGGTTTTCACCATGTTGACCAGGCTGGTCTCAAACTCCTGACCTCAGGTGATCCACCCACCTCAACCTCCCACGGTGCTGGGATTAGAGGTGTGAGCCACTGTGCTAGGCCTTTAACTGTTTGAATGCTTTAGAAAAAGAGGATGTGTTTGCATGCGCATGTGTATGTATGTGTGAATGGACAGAGACAGAATGAACAACCTGTTAATAGCAGTAAGTTGAGTGAATTCTTAGTATGATTTCAGTAATTTTTCTGTAAGTTTGAAATTATTGTAAAATAAAAAATCAAAGTGTTTAACTTTTTATTTTAAAGTGTTCAGTTGGCTGAGTGTGGTGGCACACACCTGTAATGTTAGCACTTTGGGAGGCCAAGGTGGGTGGATTATCTGAGGTCAGGAGTTTGAGACCAGCCTGGCCCATGTGATAAAGCCCTGTCTCCACTAAAAATACAAAAATTAGCTGGACTTGGTGGTAGGTGCCTGTAATCCCAGCTACTTGGGAGGTTGAGGCAGGAGAATTGCTTGAATCCAGGAGACGGAGGTTACACTGAGCCGAGATTGCACCACTGTACTCCAGCCTGGGTAGAGTCACATAGAAAGACTAATATAATAAAACTCAATAAGCTTATCACCCAGATTTCATGACTGCTAATGCTTTGTCATGTCAGCCTTTTTTCCCCCCTCAACCTGTTTCTTTTTAGGTCTGGCTCTGTTGCCCAGGCTGGAGTGCAGTGACATGATCATGGCTTCCTACAGCCTCCACCTCCTGGTCTCCAGCTGTCCTCCCACCTCAGCCTCCTGAGTAGCTGGGACTACAGGTGTGAGCCATTATGAATGGGCAATTTTTTTATTTTTACTTTTTGTAGAGATAGTCACCCAGTGTTGCCTAGGGTGGTCTTGAACTCCTAAGCTCACAAAGTTCTCCCAACTCGGCCTCCTGAAGTGCTAGGATTATAGGCGTGAGCTACTGGTCCTGGCCCATATTAGTCTTTTTTAATGTAAAATATTAAAAAGTTGAAGGGACATGGTGTCTCCCACCTATAATCCCAATACTTCATGAGGCCAAGGTGGGAGGATTGCTTGAGCCTAGGAGCAATCCTTCCAGGAGCAAGATCAGCTTGGGCAACATAGAAAGACTCTGTCTCTACAAAAATAAAAAATAATTAGCGAGTCATAATGGCTTACACCTAAAGTCCTTGCCACTCGGGAGGCTGAGGTGGGAGGATCACTCTAGACCAGGAGCTGGAGGCTGCAGGGAGCCATGATAGTGCCACTGTACTTCATCCTGGGTGACACAGCGAGACCCTATCACCAAATAAATAAAGGAATGAGGCCAAGCATGGTGGCTCATGCCTGTAATCCCAGCGTTTTGGGAGGCCAAGGCGGGGAGACTGCCTGAGCTCAGGAGTTTGAGACCAGCGTGGGCAACATGGTGAAACCCTATCTCTACTAAAATACAAAAAATTAGCCTGGTGTGGTGGCGTGTGCCTGTAGTCCCAGACTTGGGAGGCAGAGGTTGCACTGAGCCAAGAACACACTACTGCACTCCATCCTGGGTGACATAGCGAGACTCCATCTCAAAAAAACAAAAAAGTAAAAAATGAATGAAAAAGAGTGAATTAAAGCCATCTTGATTTTTTTTCCCTAAATCTTTTATATGCACCCCACCCCCCAAAAGAAAGGCATTTTTCCTTTATGACCCAACAGAATGAGCTGTAATAACCTTGTAATATGTGCAAATGTCTATCCACATTCAGATATCCCCAGCTTTGTGGCTGCCTTCATTTGTAGTGGGCAGTTGTGCTGGGCAAGGGCACAGCATTGGCATGTGTGTGGAGTGAGTGAGCTTCGTCGTCCTCCTCCTCTGACACCCATTTGTATCTTGTCCTCAGGTTGATTGTCCAGGGCTACCACCAGCCCCTGGAGAGCAGTGGCCTCTGGTCCTTAAACAAGGAGGATTTGTCCTCGGAACAAGTCTTGCCTGTTTTGGTAAAGAACTAGAAGAAAAAATGCACCAAGTCTAGGAAATAAGTGTGAGTTTCCTTGTCCTCTAGGATGCCCTGGCTCCCTTCTTCCCGCCCCTGTGGCCTGCATCCAAGCTGTGGCCCTGGCAGTGCTGCCTGTTACTAGCTTTGTGGTTCTCTCTTCTCCTCTGGGCCTCAGTTTGTTTTTCAGAGAAATGGGGTAAAATCTCACAAGACATTAAGGCAACTGAATACAGAAGAAGAGAGAAGCTGGGCATGGTGCCTCATGCCTGTAACCCCAGCACTTTGGGAGGCCAAGGTGGGTGGATCACAAGGTCAGGAGTTTGAAACCAGCCTGGCCAAAATGGTGAAACCCCATCTCTACTAAAAATACAAAAATTAGCTGGGTGTGGTGTTGAGCGCCTGTTATCCCAGCTACTTAGGAGGCTGAGGCAGAAGAATCGCTTGATCCCAGGAGGTGGAAGTTGCAGTGAGCCAAGATCCCACCACTGCACTTCAGCCTGGGAGACAGAGTGAGGCTCCATCTCAAGAAAAGAAAAAAACACTGCCCAAGCAGGCAGCTGATGCTGTTTGCCATGGCACGTGACTGTCCCTCCTTGAGTCAGTCTCACTTTTTCTGTCCCTTTCTGAGCATCTGGCATCCTGTGTGTTCCTGCTTTTTGAAGGGTTTGTGTCTAACACACCCAGCTGACCATGTACGTTTGTTTAGCCAAAGAAGCCCCATTTGTGAGTGATTTTTGCTGTCCTGGATTTTAGACTCTACCCCTTATGTAAGGTGTGCCCCATTGCGCCACCTCTGTCATTCTTTTGGGAATCAGGTCAGGGCTTCCACTGCACATACTTTAACTCTTCAAATCTGAGACACCATCAGTTGCACGGTATGTTATTATTGTGTGAGCCACTGTGCCTGGCCTACACTGTTGTCTTTAAACTTTTCAAAAGCCAGCTAGGCAGGGATAGACCTGTCACCGTCCTCCAGGACAGGTACCAGAACACTCAGTGTAGCATAGATCATGATAGTAAAAAACAGGGAACAATCTGTTTTTGCAATGAATGGAAGAAAGGTAATGCCAGCAGAGCACATCCACATGCCAGACAAGCATGCATCATGAACACAAATGAAGCAAAGCCAGGCATGATAGCAGTGCACCTGCAGTCCCAGCTACCTGGGAAGCAAAAGCAGGAGGATTGCTTGAGCCCAGGAGTTCGAGGCTGTAGTGAGCTATGATCACACTACTGTACTCCAGCCTGGGGGACAGAATGTGACCCCACTTCAAAACCAAAACTAAAAAAAAAGCAGAATGAACCCAGATGATACACAATTAACTACACAAAGAGAACTCTTTATAGTATGATCCCATTTAAATCTGTCAAAATATTTTTTAAAAACCTATATGCTTGTACATTTTCTTCTAAAAGCATGCACAAAACTGTCACTTTGGAGGAGAGAAACTGATGGAAGAGAAGACAGTATACTTTTTGTATCTTTCTGTATGATTTGATTTTTTTTTTCTACAGTGGATGACAAGTATTTGTTCAGTACCTGCTGTGCACTGTTTATAATTATATACTGAGGATATAGCAGCCCACCTGGAGCTGACATTCTAGTGGGGAAAGAAAAGTAAGTATACTTTTAAAAATTCAGTTTTTTTTTTTGAGTTCTGATTTTATTCATGTTACCTGAGCATGTTCCCACAGTCTCCCTGATCGTGCTGCCAACTGCATATTTATCCCTTTGGTATCTTCCATCCTGGGTCCTCTCCCACCTCTTCTGCATTCAGCCCTTTGGTGCCTTAAATTGTGCTGCTTTCTCTCCTGGCATCAAAGAATGAGTCAGCCAGTGGACAGTGGGGGCTGTAGTCATCATTATTGCTCAGGTGTTGTGAACTAGGAAAGAGATATGATATGTTTAAACACAGCATAGTGTCAGAGAGCCCGTGACAAATGTTGGCTCTCTTTGTCATTGTTGATGTTCTGGTGATTACTGTTGATGCTGGGTGGATTCTTCCTGGGATTGGGGCAGATACCCAGCTGTGCTGTCCCTTGGTGTTTTTATCAGGGTCCTTCCTTAAGTCTGCAGCCAAGGCATCTACCAGGGCTGGGGTCTCATCTAAAGACTCAACTGGGGAAGGGCCTACTTTGAAGCTCACCTGGTTGTTGGCAGAACTCGGTTTCCTAGTTGTTCATATTTTGAAATACTTCCTTATTACTGTGCAAACAGCCAGTGCTCCAGGTACCTTTTACAATGAAGTCTCTGGAAGTCTCTGTGATCTGGAAACAAAAGATTAATTCCTGGCACTGCAGGGTTCCCTGGGCCTCTGCCTGTTGGCTGATAACCTTGTCAAACTGATTACCTATTTTTAACATCACCTCTTCTTGCAGTGCTTGGGAACCTGGAGGCTATGCCCTTTCCTTCCTGCGGTTCCTTACATCCTGGTTCTGGGAAGTGAGCTTCACATGTCAGAGATACTGCTATCTGGGCTAGGTTTTACCCATTGCTGCTGGTACAGGATGCTGGCTCAGGCCAAACAGCTTGAGAACTTCCTGAAGCATACACAAGTTTCAATACCGAATTGATCAGGTTGAAGAAAGGATGTAAGAGATTAAAGATCAACTCAATGAAATAAAGCAAGAAGGCAAGATTAGAGAGAAAAAAAGAAATGAACAAAGCCTCCAAGAAATATAGGATTATGTGAAAAGACCAAATCTATGTTTAATTGGTGTACCTGAATGTGTGAGAGTAAAACCTAGTTGGAAAACACTCTTCAGGATATTTTCCAGGAGAAGTTCCTTAACCTAGGCAAGGCAGGTCAACATTCAAATTCAAGAAATACAGAGAACACAAAGATATACCTCCAGAAGAACAACCCCAAGGCACGTGATTGTTAGATTTACCAGGGTTGACATGAAGAAAAAAATACTAACGGCAGCCAGAGAGAAACGTCAGGTTACCCACAAAGGGAAGCATATCAGACTCACAGCGGATCTCTCGGCAGAAACCCTACAAACCAGTAGAGTGGGGGACAATATTCAACATTCTTAAAGAACTTCTTTCTTTAATAATTTCATATCCAGCCAAACTAAGCTTCAAAAGCAAAGAAGAAATAAAATCCTTTACAGATCAACTGCTGAGAGATTTTGTCACCACCAGACCTTACAGAAAGCTCCTGAAGGAACCACTAAACATGTAAAATAACAACCAGTCCCAGCCACTGCAAAAATATACCAAATTTTAAAGGCCATAGATAGTATAAAGAAACTGGCATCAAATAATGGGCAAAACAATGAGCTAGCATCAAAATGGCAGAATAAAACTCACACATAACAATATTAACCTTAAATGTAAATGGGCTAAATTCCCCACTCAAAAGACACAGACTAGGAAATTGGATAAAGCATCAAGACCAATCAGTACATTGTATTCAGACAACCCATCTCACATGCAAACCCACACATAGGCTCAAAATAAAGGAATGGAGGAAGATTTACCATGCAAATGGAGAGCAAAAAAAAAAAAAAGCAACAGTTGGAATCCTAGTCTCTGATGAAACAGACTTTAAACCAACAAAGATCAAAAGCTACAAAGAAGGACATTACATAAAGGTAAAGGGATCAGTGCAACAGCAAGAGCTAACTATCCTAAATATTGCGCACCCAATACAGGAGCACCCAGATGCATAAAGCAAGTTCCTTAATGACCTACAAAGAGACTTAGACTCCCACACAATAATAGTGGGAGACTTTAACACCCCATTGTCAATATTAGATCAGCAAGGCAGTTGTGTTCATTATAGGTATGAATCCCAGAGTCCACTGCGCAAAGAACCTGGAGTACAGATGATTAAGGGCAGGAGAAAAAGGTGGCTCTGGCTTTGGAAGAGAGAGCCTGAATTCAACCTTTCTTCACTTCTTTGTTTCATCTGGGACCCCAGCTTACTGGATAATTCCCATGCACATTAAAGGCAGATCTTCCCCATTCAGTTCACTGAGTCAAATGTCAATCTTCCCTGGAAACACCCTCACAGACACACCTGAGGATTGCCAAACCACTTGTTTTCCCTTTTAGCAGAAGAAAGATGGGCTCAGTGCTTACAGAAGCATTGAAAAGTATCAGTGCTTCACCAGTTGTATGGATATCCCTTAATCCAATCAAGTTGATGGTTAATACTCAAAATCAACCATAACAGATATCTTCTCAAGATTCTTTATGCTAATACAACTAAATATAAAAAATTTTTCCCTTACTGTATGCAGTCACTTACTATATGATTTTCTGGATATAATAATATATCCTGGATATCTTTTTCCTTTGTCCTGTATCAGCAATTAGAAGCATACTAATTATTTCTTTTAACAAGTGTATAGTATTTCATGATGTGAATGTATATACTGTATTTCACTCTCTCCTCTCATACCTATAATGAACATCACAGTCCCCTAGGCTCTCCGGCCTTCAGCTTCTAACTGAGGTTTATAACATGGACTTCCTTGGTTCTAAGACCTTTGGTCTTGGATTGAGTCATGCTACCCGCTTTCCTAGTTCTCCAGCTTGCATAGGGTCTATTGTGGGACTTCTCAACTTCCATAATTGAGTGAGCCAATTCCAAGTCCCTTTCATTTCTATCTTTCTCTCCGTTTGTCTATCTCCATAGATATATATGGGAATATACATTAGGTAGGTGCAAAAGTAATTGCAGTTTATTATTAGACATATAATAACATAAGGAAAGCAATGAATTATTATGTACCCCATATTTTACACAAATGGTCAGTTACTATATATTTTTCTGAATATTTTTCACAAAATAATATATCCTGGATATCTCTTTTCTTTTTTCTGTATCAGTAATTAGAAGCCTACTAATTCTTTTTTAAAAAGAAATGCACTGAGATATGTCAGATATATATAAGGAAAATGTGGCACATATGTACCATGGAATACTATGCAGCCATAAAAATGGGTGAGTTCATGTCCTTTGCAGAAACATGGATGAAACTAGAAACTGTTCTCAGAAAACAAGAACAGAGAACCAAACACTGCATGTTCTCACTCATAAGTGGTGTTGAACAGTAAGAACAGAGGGACACAGGGAGGAGGGGAACGTCACACACCAGGGCCTGTAAGTAGGAGATGGGGGCTAAGGGAGGGATAACATTAGAGAAAATACCTAATGTAGCTGACAGGGGGATGCATGCAGCAAACCACCATAGCACGTGTATGCCTATGTAACAAACCTGCATGTTCTTCATATGTACCCCAGAACTTAGTATAATTTTTAAAAGTAAATCGGATGCAGTCTTGTTATGCTGCCCAAGTGGTCCTCAAACTCCTGGGCTCAGGCAATCTCAAACTCCCAATTAGCTGGGACTATAGGTGTATATCACTACACCCAGCTATTTTTTGTACGATTTTTAATGTTGCAGAACCAATAAATTAAGTAGAGGAACAATCTCTCCTACCAAGTATATAATACCCAATTAATAAGTGTCCAAGAAAAACAGTTATATGCTTTTCGTTTTTCAACTAAAAGGTGCCAGGGAGATTCCATGATTACCGCAAGTAATTGGATCCACTGAAGATTTATACTGGCAAAAATATAGATGTCACACTAGTATGACTTAAAAGTCAAAGTATTAACATTTATCTAATTAAACCTTAACCAAATTTCTTATTTTTTGTATTGGGAAAAGCATTTTCTAATATGATTTTTCTGATGCTATGTATCTTCTAGTTCATTTTTGTTCAGCCCCCACCCTGTCACAGTACTTATTAATAAGATTAAAAGATTAATCTTTTGTTAGTTACTAATATTAAATAAAATTTTTTAGTCAACGAGCTGTATGTCTGTTTTTTTCTGACCAACTTTCCACAACCATCATAAAACGATAACAGGGAAGCCACTGCTAAATTTTAAAAAAGTAAGTACTATGCAAAAGTTGACTGAGTAAGAAAATTTTACAAGAGACCGCTTTACCTTAGTAGTAACAGTCAAGTTTTCATCATCTGGTTTAGGGCCTGAATCCACATACAGATCGTGGAAAATGCTTTAAAGCAAAAATATACAATAAAAATGAGCAACTTGATTTTTTTTTTTACTAATTTTAACTGCCCGTTCATATTCAGCTCCCTCCCACCCCCCTATCCTCCCCACCCCCCCAAAAAAAAACCACAAACTGGGAAAAGGTCAGCTATCTCTATATGAAATGACATTTCTTGATACAATTAAGATATGGCCTCTGTTCTAAAAATAGATTTTGGTTACCTATTTCTGCCTCTACCTGTCTAAATATATACAATGTTGAATGAAAACTGACCTTGAGCTCCATAACAAATAGTGACAGCCAATATATTGGCAGAGCTTGACAATAATTTACCTTCACAAATTATTTGTCCTGAAGCAGAACATGAAATTCAATTAATGGATGACCTAACTTTTGTTACCTAAACTAGAAGGCACCTTATGACCTAAAACAAGGTAGAAAAATACACTCTCTCGCCCGTTATCTGTCTTTCGTTAAAAGACTAATCTGTGTCACTTCAAAATGGCAGTCTTGATTCCTCAGCATGAAAACCATTTAAGAAGGTCCCAATGCTTTCCTTTGTCCTAAGAGAATACAGAGAATCCTCTGCTATATTTGAAATGTGTGAGAGCTAAATGTACCGAAGTCTAATAATGAAGGTATATTTTCTTATTAAGGATACTCTTCCCAGAAAGATTAGAACATTAACAATTATAAAAATCCACTTATTTTTACTCTTTAGTTCCTAACTTATGCAAGTCCACATAAACTAGTAAGCCCTTAAAAACCTTTATAGACACTCAGATAACCAACGAGAGACACTGCTGAAAAGAGTCCTGGCAGTTGTACCTCTATTTCTCTAAGTACTATCTAAATATCTTTCTTCCTATGGGTTCTCACTTCCAGGTTCCACGTATGCAGGGCTCCAGGGCAGTCTCCAATCTTCAAATATTCAGTCTATGAAACCACAGATTTTTGAAAGGATGGCCTCAGATCACCAGGATCAAGAGTGCTCTATATCCCTGCTCCTGAATAACAACCTAACTGAAGTCTACTACCAGCACAGACACACCTCCAACTACCCACCTGAACTTCATGACTGATTTGATAGCCAGTGATGACCCTGACCCAGCCTACATGGATATGGGAAGGACATCAGTAAATTAGGAAAAGAGGCAGAGATGAGGCGACACCTACCCTGGGCCACAGATCTATGTAGTTCAGCAATCTCCAGCCCATCAGTACTCAAGGGGCTGTAAGCCACCCCTCTGTAAGTCAGGATGGAATTAGATGATACCGCATTTCTGTCTGCTATAGAGACTCCTCCAAAGGTTTTAGCATCTTACAACAGAAATCTTCAAGTTTGTCAGTTCTTGATTTAAAAAGAGCACAGCAATCTGTTGAGAGCTTCCTTGAACCCTCTATTTTAATGTGCCTTTGTAGATAATTCCCAGTATCTTGTGTCCTTCATCTTTATAATTTATCAGACTTGTCATAAACCCCAATATTCTAATCTCTTATTGAATAATCCATATCCAGTGTTGTTTCTCTTTAAACTTGGCCTTCCCCTGCTCATTCCATTCTTAGCCATTTCACTGGGTTCACCAGCTAATTTCATTCTCATTC